CTAGCTAATATTTTGATAAAGTTTATCTACCAAGTCATAAAGATAAAATTTATCTAGCTAAAATTTTGGAAGTCAATTAGATATAAAAGACAGGAAAATATGTGGATATAATTGACTTTATGATAAAAATTAAGGGTGAAATAAGAAATCAAAAAATTTTCACATATGTTGACATTTATAAATAGTATAAATATAGATTTTGTGGGCATAGTTGACTTTTTGATAATAATTAGGGGTGAAATAGAAAATCAAATTTTTTTCGCAAATGTTGACATTTATAAGTAGTATAAATATAGATTTTGTGGGCATAATTGTCTTTAGTGTAATAATTAGGGATGAAATAGAAAATCAAAAGTGTTTCGCAGATACTGACATTTATAAGTAGTATAGATTAAAGAGCTGCATCATTTAGTATCACGATATAGTTACACAAATTATATACACAAAATTTGGTATATAATGATAAACTCTTTTGTATAATGATAAACTCAATTTGATGTATATAATTAGTGTAACCATATTATAATCCTAAATGATATAACTCTTTAGTTTATATAAACAATTGAATAACAAATTGGGTTGATGTTATAATTTTGTATACTTATTTAGTGCAATTTTTAATTTATTAGAACACATGAATAACTGTTTGGTGTATTATAGGGTAATTGTAACTAATTTGTGTAATTGATTGATGTAACTGTGTTGTTATAACGTTAATATAAGGAGAGAGAGAAAAAAATGGAGAAAAATAGTAATTATGAGAGAAAATAGGGGGAGAAAGATGAAAAAATTAAATCAAATCTTTACATATTTGAAAAAAAATAAATTATCAATGTGTGTGAGAGAGAGATAGATAGAGAGAAAATAGAGAAGAGAAAGTGAGACAGTAATGGAGAGAGAGACAGAGACAAAGAGAGAGAGTAATGAAGTAATAAATGATATTATAGTCTTTTTTTTAATGCACATAGGACCAAATAAGTATTTTTAATGTAATTTAATTCAATTAAGTCTAAATTTTTGTACCAACTTTCAAATTTTCCTAATTATTTAATGCATAAAACTAGTGCTCATAACATTACTCTATCTATTATCCACTTGGATTTGCAAAAACCATATCAAAGGTTCTGGCTTTAGAACCACCTCTCTATCAATTCAATGAATCACACTACACAAACAATCTATGGTACAAGGGATTTTAAAGGTTTTATCACGGCTATTTTTTTTATCTTTATTATCAATTTACCAGTGTCTCTGAGATATTTCTCAGTTTGTCTATGGTTGTATTAAATCAGATTATAAACCCATGTTTTTGAATCAAAAATGCATTTGTAAAACACATCTTCCAGCACCTTTAAACAAAAACATTTTTTCTTGAAAGCACGTTTCACACCTATTCCCTCTAAAGTAGGTTTTTATCCCTTCATTCCACTCATCCAGATTAGAAACATTGATTATAAGTACTAGTAACAGCTGAACCAAATGACTGAAAGTTTCCCTCACCCACGGAGGAGGAACAAATATGAGAGTTTTTATATCACAAAAAGTCCAGCACTCGCTCTTCTTTCGAGGATTAGTAAGCTTTTTGGACGTGACCATGAGAGTCCCTCCTACTGTGGAATATCCGATTAGAGTTATAATGATGCAGGAAAGTGGATACAAATAATGATTTAATGAACAAAAGAGGATAAAAAGATTAAACCATTAATATAGATTTTGCCAAAAAAGGAAATTTTCAAACTACTTATACTGCTAAAAATTACTAATCACTCGAATAAAAACAGAACAGACATTGATCAATTCTAACTTTAGACGGTGAAGTTATTCGATTATAAAATATTACCAAAAAAAGCAAAAAGACCATTTTCAAGCCCTAAAAGTAGGAATTTGTTCGAAATTCTGCCCTGAGTCATTGCATCCCCTGTTAGGGGTGCAATGTGTTCATTTCGCCATGCCGTTGATGATTGAATATGGGTGTTTGAAAACTCATGTATGTGAAAGTACCTATGAAAAAGCCAAACTAATTGACTAACCTGAACCACCTCGACATTAATCACATTGATTCAAGTATTGTGCTGCTATACGATCTGCATCACATAATTACAAATACAAAATGACAACCCATTATCACAACACCACCAAAGTAAAACAATAAATCACGTTACTCTTGTGAATCATACCCTACTTGATAATCACATTAAAATCAAGAACGATTTTTAGCAGATACAACTTATAACAAAACTACCAACTTAGATGGTGAAAGTCATAATTCTAAACCATATTTTCATTCCATAAGTTAAATGATCAAAGCACCTTCAAAAAGTCTTAAAAGGAGCTTTTGACCCATACCGAGGCTTTTTTTTAAAAAATTCTCAACTAAGGGTTGGTTTGAAAATAATTTCTTAACACATGGAATTTTAAAAACGTCATTTGATCTAACGTTTTTAAGCATAAACACATTAATTGATCTGACGTTTTGAGCTTAAAAAGGTTAGATTAAATGACGTTTTTAAGTTTGTTCTTAAGAATTAAAGACGTCGTTCCGATTGACGATATTAATTAAAATCGTCAGTTGCGCTCACGTGTTTAACAACTCACACCCCTGAAACCATTTTTCCCTGATCTCTTATTTCCTTTACCTTATTTTCTCTTCTTCCCCTCCCCCCCATGTGAGCCCTAACTCACTCAGGCGACATCGCAGTAGGCCCATCGCAGAGCCACCACCATTGCTGCACCACCACCATTGCTGCACCACCCAGCCCCACCCACGACCACCCGGCCCCGCCCACCACCACTACCCTCCATAGCAGATGAATCAGCATCCTCACGATCTTATTTTCCCTTCATCAGCACCATCTGAAAGCCCTAGCCAACTGCCACTATCGGTCACCCCCAATTCGCAGCACCACCCAGCATCGAAGCCCCAAATCCAAGCACCACCAGGCAATGTTCTTCAGTCCTGTGACAAGAAAATGTGGTTTTTCTCCAAGTTGAGGTTCTAAGGAGGTTAAAGGCTATGTTTTGTTCTCCATTTTTATCTATTCTGCTTGATTTCATATGTCATAGGTGTTTAAGTACTCGTTTTATGAGTATTGTCCTGGACCTAGTTTGAATTTTTTTGGTAATTTTGGTGACAATCAGAGGTGGGTATTAAGGGACTTTTTTGGATTTGATTGATATTTCTGCTATAATTTGATGGCCTCATTTTGATTATGATTCTATGGTTTTATTTGAGAAGCATCTGATATTGATTTAGTTTTTTTGTTGATTGGGTTCAAAGCTTTTTATGGATGATTTAATTTGGGTGAACTGAAATGAGTTCACCCAAATGGATAAGCTTTTTATGGATGATAAGCTTTTTAAGATATAAACGTCAGACGTATTTAAGCTTAAAAATATCAGATCAAATGACGTTTTTAAAATTTTTTGAGTTTAGAAATTATTTTTAAATCAATCNTAGGTTTACTTTGCTAGATCTTTGATTGGTTGTTTCGTAGTTTATACTACACTATAGATAGTTAATCCTGTGTATTTCTTATACTAGGAAATCATGAGAAAAGTGGAACAGCAAATGAAAGCATGTGGTAAAATCTGTTGATGGAAATCTTATCCCCGGGGGTGGGGTGTGTAATTTTTTGTCTTTGCCTAAATCTTGAGGCTTGACTATCAATATGGAGACTCCTGACATTTGAGTAATTGCACGAAAACCTCTTTTATGATTTTTGCTGATATCAGCGTTTTTGTGAAGTGGACAGTACGATTGTGGTGTAACACCCAATGTTCAGGTGTTCCCATGTCAAATGACCAGGGATATCATTGTTTCGTTGGTAGAGCTCTGGGAGTGTTGAGGAATTTACCCCATGGAGTTTTCTAAAGCCAGGGAGTCTGTGTGGTTTTGTTTTGTACGTTTTTGGATCGACTAACCTTTGGAACAGGTGTGTGCTTTTCACCAAATACAAATACGGAGGGAGGATCACAGAATCAGCAATGCTTTACCAAGAAAAAAGATAATGATTGATGTCTTACCATCTTTCATCAGTATAATCAGAAACCATTGAAAGAGTAAATTCAATTGACTGTTATGGTTTAGTTTATGATATGGGATAAAATCTGTTAAGATTCTCTTGAAATTCTAAGTGGATTTTAGTGTATTAGTGGTCTTGGGGTATGTTTGCGTCGTCGTCTTGTTTGGAAACAGTAGTATTAAGATTTGGCAAGTTATACTAAATAGAATGGGGAAATGCTTTAGTATATGTATTTTTTGTATGCCATACAATTGATTTTTGACGAAAAACTCGAGCAGTCTCGCACTCTGTTTTTTTCCACATTATTGCAGGATCCCTCTGATAGGAGGAGAATAATATGTGATGAGAAGCTGAAAGAACTCTTCAATGTTGACACCTTCCATGGATTTACTGTTTCAAATTGATATGTTGTGGTGACATTGTGATTTTTCTTTGGTGGTGGTGATATTGTGATAAATTTTGTGGTCGTGGTGGTGATATTGTGGTATTGGATTTAATAAATTTTCTGCTGGTGGTGGTGACATTGTGAATGTTGTGATTTCTGGCTAGGGGGGATTCTCTGGCAATTCAAATGAGAAGGAGATTTTCATTTGACATACGATGAAGCTTAAAACCCAAAATTTTAGTACAATCACATTAAACGTATGCTGAAGTGTATATATGTATGTTCTAAATTGCCAATGTGTTCTTTGATTCCCTTTATTCAATAAATGATGATCAAATTATATAAACATTTGGCTGAGTAATTTGGATAACTTTCACCCTGCTGACTTTATGATATTGCAACTATTGGTCTTGAGTGATTGCAAATCGTAGAACTTTGAACAACTCATGTAGAGGCTGCTACCACTATGGTCGTTCTTTTTATAATACATCATGTTGATAAACTCACAACTAGGTACATTGAGAATTCGTTTAGATTGACTCAATTTCATCAAACTTCCACTTGAGTTATAAAACCACTTCTGACATATTGGTCTAGGCAGACTTCCCATCAGCAGCTGCAGCAGTGACAACGTCTTTGAGCCAAGGTGACAAATTAAACAAGGATGGCGTGTAAACAAAATAACAGGTAATTGTCCAAGTGACAAATCCCTGCATGCAACAAAAAACACTCAGATTTCTCTGAAAAGACCAACAAATAGCTTCAAGATAGAGGTTTTTGGTGCTGTTTTTGTAAGTCACCTGGCCAAAGATCTCAATGTTAGCTTGGGGATAGTACCGTAGATGGAAAAACCTGATTATACAAATGAGAAAGATCAACTGAAAACCCAATTTGAAAAACAATTTAGGCTAAACATTTCACAAAATATATACTCAAACAATAATCAACTCACTAATAATCAACTCAAAAAAAATTAACTCAATATTTCAATATTTGAAATCTATTCAATAATTCAACTCAACTCAATAACTCAGTAATCAACTCAATACCTCAATAATCAACTCAATACGCCAAATCCAAGCACCACCACCATTGAAAAGAATCAGCTCAAATGCTTATGCCATAAAACTTCCTCACTGTACACAATTACGGAATNCCCAAATCCAAGCACCACCACAATTGAAAAGAATCAGCTCAAATGCTTATGCCATAAAACTTCCTCACTGTACACAATTACGGGAATTTTTTTCAAATGGCCATCACAATGTAGCAGTTTCTCACAGAAAACATATTTGCACAATTGCTTATCATCAAAAATTTCCACTAACAGTCAATAATCTCTTTTTTTGAAAAAATCCAAACAAAGCATCAAATCCTAATACAAATAGACAGCACAACATGAGACCAAAAGTGAACTAATCAAATCACACAAAAACTACAAAACAACCAATCAAAGATCTAGCAAAGCAAACCCAATTGAACTTTACAGCTCATAACCCATTTCAGTTCCCCAATAGATATCCAAATTTGCCACAATTTTTTTCCGACATATTACGTTTCTGAATACACTCTGAACTGCTATGAACTTCACCTGGGTGGCCTCCAAAGGCTACGCTAGGTCATAGGTTTGAATGCTCTCCAGAACAACAAAAAAGAAAGAAATGCACTTCAATGATGTTGATTGCTTTTACATGAGTTGCAATTTACATAGCTTTTCAGTTCATATTCTGGAAAACAAATACAAGAGAGTTGGTGTTATAAGTAAGTCTTTAAGTACCTGTACCAACTTCATGGAAGACTTGCATACACACTTCAGTTGCACAGGCCATTCTGAGCTGTATTCACATGCGTTGGGAATAACCACAGGATGTATGGCCATTACCATCTTTGTAGCCTGACCAATCTGGTTCGACAAAAGACATCATCTTGAACAAGGAAATGAGGGTTTTTGTACTTAATAGCCATAATTTATGTAGCGTTTGGTAACGCTGTTGAAACTAATTTTTTTTATGCAAAGAAACAATTTTGTCAAAAAATCAAAAGCAAAGAATGGAATGGAAACCACGATGCCTTTCTATGGAATGCAAATTTTGCCCAAAATTCTAATGTGCAAACTGAAGCATATTTGTAAAGTAAGCTGTGGATTAAGTGAGTGTTCCGCACTTCCACAGGTAGTAAAAATCCCAAGCCTCGTATAAAAGCACCGGTTTAAACTAGAACAGCCACATCTCCTACATGTCTTTGATGGTCTATTGTGTATTCTTAGTAACACACAATGAATCATGACAATACTTTTCCCTTCCCAACGGAAAATTGTCTATGCATATTTATGGATTTATAATAACAAGAAGCTCTAACTTACTCAGTGCAATTTGGAGATACAATCAGCTTGCTAACAGTAAGAGCAGTGCTCAAAGTGCAAGTGGCTACAGGGGAGAAGAACAGAACCCATAACTATAGAGGATGCAATAAGATCTGGAGTTTAAAGCTTACCCTGAAAAGGTGGTTTCATGACTTAAGTTTTAGTACTGAAACGCTATCTGGAGAAATATCTAGCTGCCAGGGGAAGAAAGATTCTAGATTGACACTCGCCATCGAACATGTGACTAAAAACCCATCTGGCACTAAACATTCCAAGGAGTGAAATTGCCTCCAATACATAACCTTAGGTTTCATCATCTAAACCGTGCAGTTGCAGTTGCCACACAACCCATTTCAGTTCACCCAAATTAAATCATCCATAAAAAGCTTTGAACCCAAACAACAAAAAAACTAAATCAATATCAGATACTTCTCAAATAAAACCATAGAATCATAATCAAAATGAGGCCATCAAATTATAGCAGAAGTATCAATCAAATCCAAAAAAGTCTCTTAATACCGATCTCTGATTGTCACCAAAATCACCAAGAAAACTCAAACTAGGTCCAAGACAATACTCATAAAACGAGTACTTAAACAGCTTATGACATATGAAATCAAGGAGAACAGATAAAAATGGAGAACAAAACATACCCTTTAACCTCCTTAGAACCTCAGCTTGGAGAAAAACCACCTTTTCTTGTCACAGAACTGAAGAACATCGCTTGGTGGTGCTTGGATTTGGGGCTTCTATGCTGGGTGGTGGTGCTGCGAATTGGGGGTGACCGATAGTGGCAGTTGGCTAGGGCTTTCAGATGGTGCTGATGAAGGGAAAATAAGATCGTAAGGCTGCTGATTC